GCTTTCTATAAAAGCCAAAAAAAAAAAAAGTTCTCTCATTTTTCTTTTCTCCCTATTTCTCTACACCTCTCCCTCTTTCAAAGCTTTTCTCTCTAGACTGATCGATCGATCACCGACCGCCGCTCTGGCCGTCAGTCACCGTTATCGAAGTCAAAAAATCCTAAAATATACGAAAATATTCTCCTCGAAGCGCTCTTTCTGGATTTGGTCTCCTTTTCATTGGGAATAGCTCCGATCGACTTAGATAGGGGCTTAAAGTTTCAGTCTCTTTTTTTTTTATAGACTAAAATTGATTTTTTTTTTGTTGCAGGGGCTTAGCGCTGATGGTTCCTCTTTATGGAGAGGATTGTGTTGTTTTTCTTTTTGGTTTTTGGCAAGCTTTTTGGTTCTTTTTTTTTTCTATGTGTGTTTGATGAGTACAGGTCTATAGGCGTGGTTTTTTGGATGAGGTAGGATCGGGTGTAGCAGGGGCTTGTGGAGGGGGTGAAAATGGGTGCTGAGGGGCTAGGTGTATGGGGGCTTGGTCTCCAGCGCAGATCCGTCTGGCTTGTGGGTTTTATAGGGCTGATTGGGGGAGCAAGTGGTGGCTAGTTTGTGGTAGGTTTCAAGAGTCAGAGGATTAAAAGGCAGAGTATGGTGGTGATGGGGCTACAGTTCTGGTGAGCAAAGGGTGGACAAATGGTGGCAGTGGTGCCATGCACGGCACCCACTACCATCAACCCCTTTGTTTTTTTTTTTTTTTTGTATTTTTGTTTAATTAATAAATTAATAAAATAAAAGATAAATAGGTTTTGGGCTTAAAAATGAAATTAGACCTCGGGCCCAATCAAAATTAGGTCTTGGGTTCAGTTGAAATGAAATTGGGCTTCAAGCCTGAAAACCTAATATATTTGACAAATTTTAAATGAAGATCTAATTCAAAAGCCTGAACAAATTTGGTGTCTACAGTTATACATGTTAACCTATATCAAATTTGGAGTTTATGGTTGGTATTTCTTTTTCTCCTTCCTAAGAATCTAATAGTTTGATATATATATATATATATATATATATACTTTACTTCAAGCTTAGACTATGCCTTTTATTCAACTATAGGCATTCCTCTTCGAACAAGAGCTTCACCCATTCCTACATATGCTACAGACTTGGCTTCCAAGCTAAAAGCAGCCTTTCTAAACTATACGAGACTGCCGAACCAAAGGCTGTTTAAGAAGCCAGGGTAATCACAGCATTCCTCCTATCGGGTGACTTCACTCGCTTAAGCCGAATCGCTTTCCTTATGGCATCTGCTTTCAATGTCAGCTGGATTGCCTAGTTGATTGTTAGTTCGATTTTTACTAGTTTCAAAGGCTTTCTGCCCCGGCTTGGGACTCACTCCTCCTTCTCACCTCATCGCGAATTGCAAGAGAGAATCTAGGGTTACCAAGACAGATATTCTTACCACAGCTTCACGCTCTACTTACTGCTTTCCCTAAGGCAAGGAAGGCGGGAAAGGCAAGGTAAGTGCAAGCTAACTAATGGATATATACATATATATATATATATATATATCAAAATATTAGATTCTTTTCCTTATGTGCCATATTTAAAAGCCTATATATGTTTATTCTGCTAATTGGACCTTTTAATAGAAAATTTATATTTAAAATTTTATATTGAATAATTAATTGATTGATATATGTATAGTAAAAACTAGCAAACTTTTCATGTCCAACCCCAAATTTCAGTCTTCCATATATATGTGTGCGTGTGTGTGTCTAGTAGGGATTTATTTATACTAGTGTAACTTTTTTTTTTTGGATCCTTAGATCAAAATTAAATCTTGACTCATTTGAATTAAAATAATAATTTTGATCAAAAAATAAAGAATATAAAAATTACACAAATGTAAGTAAATCTCTCATTGTATGTGTATGTGTGTGTGTGTGTCTATATATATATATATATATATATATATATAAGTTACTGATAAAATCAGTAGGTTTCATAGCTATCAAAATTGGATTAGATAATAACCTATGAAAACTTTAAAAAATTAAAAGCTATATATGTTAAGTTAGACCAATTTGAAATTTTAAGTTGACATTTCTTTTTAAAGTTTGTGTTTGCGTGTGCTTTACACACAATATATATATATATATATATATATATATAGATATATATTCAAAATATCACATTATTTTCCTTAAGTGTCACAAAAGTCATTAAAATGTTTATTTCAATTATGGAATTTGATCTTTAAATGGAAATTTATATTTGAATTTTAATGTTCTTAATTAATTGATATATGCATGGTAAAAAGGCAAACTTTCCTTTTCCATTCCCAAATGTCAACCTTCCATATATAAGTTAGAAATAAAATTAGTGGATTTCATTAAGGGGAGAGAAAAAAATCGAAAAGTAAAAAAATTGATTATAAATTATAGAGTTCGAATTGGTTCAGATCAATTTTTTTATTTGATTCAAATTTAATTCGAATATTAAATATATATAGGTTCGGATTGAATGTAGAATTGGGAAGTGAAACACCAAAAAATTTAACCAAATCAAATTATATATTTTTATTAACTTATATACATTTGAAAATTTTATAAAATAAAAATAATTATTTTATATCTAAATCTATTTAAATATATTAAAATTTATATTAAAATAATATGTAAAAAATAATAAAAATTTAAATTTAAAAAATTGATTAATCGAAGCAAACAAATAAAATTCAATTCAGATCAACTTCAATGAAAGGTCGGTTCAAATTAAATTGGATTTTAAAATTCATAACATTATTCATTATTTGAAAAATCAAATTAAATCCAATTTGATCAGAATCTTTATAAACTCTTTCATAGTTACAAGAATCTTTGGTCTTGAGTTACAATTGGATAATGATATGTTCAACCCTTCGGTCTTGAATCAAATAGTTTAACCATTGGTCATTCAGGTTAATAAAATATTTTCATTAAAATTATAAATTATATAAAATTTTTGTAAACTTGAATAAGCTAAAAAGTTGTGATATTATAATTAGAAATATTTATTATTATTTAAAAATTACAAAAAAAAAAGCTAAGGTTATAAAGACTTTTTTTTGGCCAAAGAATAATGATATAAAGATTATCAAGATTTCTTTTACTTTTTATTTTATATAATGTATTTTCTGTTTTTAACTTATTTTAAGAAAAATAATTTTTTTAGTCAAAATAATTATGGAATCTATAATTAAGTATAATTTTAAAATTATCCTTAAAAATCATATTTTATTGATTGGATTTAATCTAAAACTTGGTAAATCATTGATTTTTCATAAACATGACGAGTCAATATCGATTTTTTTCAAATCAATTACAAAAATAATTCAATTAAAAATACGACTCGAACCAAATTATGGGACCAATTCGAATTTGATAACTCTGGTTGATTTCCTCGATCGTCAATATAAAAAGGTGCTACAAAGTATCAAGACCTAAACCCTAAACAAAGAAAAAGAAAACCATTACTAATTAGATATGATGACGACTCGATCCTCTCGACCAAGGCTGAACATCACATCAGCAGAGATGGTTGCTAATAGTGAAGATCTTTTGAAAGATATCCTCCTCAGACTACCCATCAAAAGTCTAATAAAATTTAAGATCGTATCTAAACCATGGCTGTCTCTAATTTCCAGCCCTCATTTCGGCCTCTCCTATACTCATTTCCTCCAAACCACAGCCACTTGCTTAACCCTTTTCCTCGATGTCGTTTAGAAAAAACTACCATCTAAGTTCATGTTCCTTCGTCTAAATCCTGAGTTGAAACGACTTCCTCTCTTTGATTTCATTCATGTCCGAAATGTTAGAATCCTTCAGTCTTGCTATGGCTTGATTCTTTGTGTTTCTCAAAGTAATAATAGCAAGAATTATTTCTTATGCAACCCTATTACCAAGAAGTTCAAGAAGTTTTCTTTTCCTATAACGCGTGGAGTGACCATTGGTACTAGAGGGAGGTTTTTCATCATGTTGGAGTTAATTTGGCCATTGATCCATTCAAATCTCCTTATTATAAGATTATTTCCATATGGCAAGATCTATTTTTCAGAAATGATCCTGAAAGAAGTCGATGTTATATGCACTTTATTGACATATATTCTTCATAGACCGATTCTTGGAGTGTTTCGAAAATCAAATTCGCTTGGAGTCACGAGATGAAAATTGATCATGCTGTTTTATTCAATGGTTCTATTCACTGGAATTCTTCTTATAGAAGGTCATTTTTATTTTGATCCATACAATGAGTGCTTGAAACAAACGCCAATGCCAACAGTAGAGAGGACATGGGTTCGGTATTTGGGAGAGTCTGGGGGCCATTTGCATATTGTAGCTACAAACGGATTTTCTTTTTTTGAATTAAGATTTTTGAGGTGGGTTAAGATTATTCGAATTGGTTCCTGAAGTACAGGTTAGATCTTGATGCTAAACCGTATGTTTTGGCCCCAAAAGACACTGTTCGTAATTATCTTCTGTCTTGCGCTTTTCAATCTGATGAGGAAAAAGGGGATTCGCCGCTAGCAATATTTCCAGGGGGTTTTGCAATTTCATATAATTTGGTTTTATATTTAAATATTGTTTTTCTTAAATGGAAAACTTCTATTTCCAATTACATACCTCTCAGTTTGTAGCAAAATATTTAATCACCTACCAAACAGAAAATTGGGAAATCTTTACTTTCTAGTTGTTTCTGTTATTTTTCTGGGAAATTTTGACTTGCATTATATTACATCATGGCACAAAGCAGAAGCTTTATTAGACATTGAAAGGGGCCACATCTTATAGGACAGAAACTATAGGTTCTCACAACTACACTTAAACCAACCCACGTTCAGTGCAAAGACATACAAAGGTAGACAAATTCAAGACATGAAGTACACATGCACAAATTTACAACAATAAGAATAGCTGATGAACTGAAATGAGTTGAAGACCATGATGGACCATTAGCTGCTGCTTTCACGAAATATAGATCTAGTAATCTTCTGGTTCTTCTTCGTCTTCAGCACCTTCTACCCCAACTTCCTCATAGTCTTTCTTGAGAGCAGCAAGATCTTCACGGGCTTCTGAGAATTCACTTTCCTCCATTCCTTCACCTACATACCAGTGAACAAATGCTCTCTTGGCATACATGAGATCAAACTTGTGGTCAATTCAGGAGAAAACCTCTGCCAATCATGCAGAGTGGGTGGCTGATCATGCATGCTGCACGTTGTACCTTAGCAAGATCACTCCCTCGTACCACAGTGGGTGGCTGATAGTTGATACCACACTTGAAGCCAGTAGGGCACCTGAAATAAAAGATGCATCACAATCATTCAGATAACAAACTGAAGGCAAAATCAATGTTTTCCCCTTGGCAAACTCTTATGTAATAATGATAATCAGATTGCTTATACATAATTATTTGGAAATGAAATGTAAGAGATGTCTACTAACCAATATACTAACTGAACAATCCGCTTAGTTTTGATGGTAGCAACAGCAGCATTGACATGCTTAGGTTCAGCATCTCGACAGTACATTAAATAGCATGCCATGTACTTCCCATGCCTTGGATCACATTTTGCCATCATGCTTGATGGTTCAAAAACAGCACTTGTAATCTCAGGAACTGATAGCTGCTCATGGTAAGCCTTTGTAGCTGAGATTACTGGGGCATATGATGAGAGCATGGGATGGATACAAGGATACGGCACAAGGTTAGTCTGAAACTCGGCAATGTCCAAACTCTGCGATGTCCATGTTTATGGCACCATCAAACCTCGATGAAGTGGTCAACGAAGAGATAATTTGGGATATCAAGCGGTTCGAGTTTCAATAAGCTGGTCTTTCAATGTCCAAGGATCTCCTACAGATATCGTATATAGCTTCATTGTCAAGAAGCACAGCAACATCATTGTGTTCAAGGAGAGAATGAGTTGAGAGCATGCTATTATAAGGTTTCACAACAGCAGTAGAAACCTGCACAATAGGGGATAATTGTTCAGTGAATTGCACACACATAATAGTTCAAGCATAGCGAAAAAGAAACCTGTACTTTTCCTCGAAGTCTTCAAGAAATTACCTGAGGAGAAGGGTAGATGGAGAAGCCAAGTTTTGACTTCTTTCCATAATCTACAGACAAGTACTCCAAAAGCAACGAACCCAAACCAAAACCGGTTCCACCGCCAACGGCATTAAATTCAAAAGATCCTTGAAACCAGCGCAGTTATCAGCCAATTTTCTCACTTGGTCAAGGCAAAGATCCACAATTGCCCAACCAACTGCAGTATACAACACCAAAGAAGTTTAAGCCAGTGATCAAATCTAACAAAATTGCTAGTACTTTGGAAATGCAGAAAAGATGCTTGTACCTGTATAATGTCCTCTAGCAAAGTTATTAGCAGCATCTTCCTTGCCAGAAATAAGTTGCTCCGGGTGAAAGAGTTGTCTATAAGTCCGTCCTCCAACTTCATCAATGACAGTGGACTCTAGATCAACAAATATAGCTCTTGGCACATGCTTGCCAGACCCAGTCTCACTAAAGAAGGTATTATAATCATCGTGGCAAACACCTAAGGTGGTGTCACTGCAAGCAAACACAAATGATTTTATAGGTTCAGATCACGAAATGATAGAGGGAAAACCATAATTCAGTGATCCATTTATAAATCCTATTCTATGTTTATGTCCACTTTGATCTGAAATTTATATTGAGAAAAAAAAGTAGTTTCTGGCATGCATTTGTTGCTATTAAAGTTGTACTATACGTCTGAGTATGATAAGCAAAGAGTAAGGCAAGTAGCACAAAAGAAATGACACCAACCAAAAAGAGAAAAATGCAGGGCAAGAAGTTTAATCAATTGTTCAAAGTCCCTTACTAGGAACAATAAAGTAGAGGAAAAATCGAGAGGAAAACAATAACATAACTACATAAATTTATATAATTAGGAGAAAAAGGAAAACAGAGATGCAGTATATTAGAATCATGTCAATTCATAATAGATCCAGGGAAATTTTTTGAATTTCAGTACATACAATTCAACAATGTGATCCTATCCCTGTAAGATGCTCAGTTAGAGCAGACAAGGCAGCTAGCCATGCCAGTTCCCCAAATAGTTGAAGATTAACAGAAATCCTGCATCACCACAGTAGATAGCTCTGGGGACTTCGCCAACTGAGCATAGGAAATGCATGTCAAATGGAAATTTATGTTAATAAAAAAGAATTATTTAAATTCTATACCATTCACTTCAATTCAAACCAAATACCTCATTTCCATGAAACAAAACTTACAACAAAAAACTTTCTAATGCTTCCAGTTCCAAAGAAACACCACCAGGAAAAGACAATATGACCGTAAAGCAAGATGAACGAGCATTGACATTTGTTCTGCAAAGGAGAATATTATATGTTTTGCAAGGTTATCAAAACTAGAATGAATGGTAAACCATTAATAGAGCCCAACACTGCTATGCCTATAGATGCCCTAGAAGGAAAAAAAAAGAGAAGAGAAAAACTGAAGAAAAAAGAGTACCTGCAGGCTGAAAAATTCAAAATCAGCCCTCTTCCTGAATTTAATAGGATACTTGCATGCTGCCTAATGCCTAATCAAGGAGTAAAATGCTGCCTTCTATATGAAGTTCACTGCGTAGATATTTATTAGCAACCCCTACAGATTCTAAAACTTGTTTGGATTTATTGCACCAATATTGGCTGGGAAGAAATCACTCCATATTAGAACTTTGATAGTCTTCAAAGTTTCTGAACTACTGCACGAATATATTCACCCGTTGAATCACTAGACATTAGATTCACTAGCATGGCTGCTACAGATGCATTTGCAGAAAATCCTTTGTTAACCATTTCATGAAGAATTTGTACTCCCCTTGATGTGTCATTGTTTCGAAGAAATCCTGTAATCATCACATTATAAGAGCAACTATCCGGCATGCAACCATCCAATTCCATTTTACTAAACAGTTCGTATGCTTCATTCTGCAGCCCTTCTTTACAAAGTCGTCTGATCATTATACTATATGTGTAACCATTAGGGTGTATCCCTTTGACTTTGAGTGCACAAAATAATTTCCTTGCAACTTTAAGTTGCCCAACTTGACACAAGCCATCAATTAAGATAGAATAGTGGACAATATTAGGTTCCAATCCACTATTCTGCATTACACGAAAAAGTCCCAATGCCTCATGAATATGACCACGCTTGCATAATCCATCCAACAAAATAGAGTAAATGATCACGTTTGGAACTAGACCATAAGCACTCATTTCTTTGAAAAGTTCTTGTGCAACTGCAAGTCTCCCAACCTTTGACATGCCACCTATAAGAGTGCCGTAAGTAACAACACCAGGGATTAATCCATTTCGAGTCATTTCATGAAAAAGTTCCATTGCCTCATCAATCCTTTTAGCTTTACAATATCCATTGATAATGATGTTGTAAGTAAATTCATTAGGTACACAAACCTTGTTAGTTATTGAATTGAATAATTTTCTAGCCGCATCCATTTCACCTTGCAAACAATATCCATCAAGCAATGAATTATAAGTAACTATATTAGGCTCAACACCTTGTTGAGTCATTCTTTCAAAAATATTTTGAGCCTCTAAAACCCTACCCTCTTTACAAAGGGCATCAACCACAATACTATATGTGATGACATTAGGTTTGCAGTTGTTCGCCATCATTTCATTCAATAATCTTGTAACCTCCTTCCACTGACATGAATTACACATAGCATGAATTAAGGAATTATAAGTGACAACATTAGGTGGAATGCCTTTACCTCTCATTTCTGAGGAAAGCTTCAAAGCCTCGGTTACATGCTTGTCCTTACAAAGGCTGTCGATGACAGTGTTGTATGTTGCAATGTCAGGTGCAAAACCTATTTCTTCCATAGTGCTTAGCAATAGAATAGCCCGAGTAGTGTCACCTATTTTACAAAGACCATTTACTATGATACTATAAGTGATTAAATTAGGCTGATACCCTTCTCGAACCATGTCATCAAACAACCTCACAGCTTGAGCTACTTTACCTCCAATGCAAAGTCCATTGATCAAAGTGGAAAGTGTTATAGTATTTGATTCAATGCCCAACTTCATCATCTTCCCCAAGACCGAAAACCCAAAATCCACACGATGCAAGCGACAAAAAGAATTTATCAAAATGCTGAGAGTACAAACATTAGGATAAATTCCCAGTAATTCCATTTTTCTCAACAGAGTAACCGCAGTTTCATAATACTTCATTCTAACAATGGCCCCTAATAATTGATTAAATTCCACAATAGAAGGACGTGGATGCATATGTAGCATCTGATCAAACTTGTTCAAGGCACCATCAATTTGATCAAACACATACTTGGGTTTCTTCTTGGAATGGGTAGTGGAGAAATAAGAGATTTGGGAATAAAAGAGAGAAGTGGCAGATCTAGGGTTACCCGATCCCAATTGTCGAAGATGATCAAAGGCAGAAGAAAAAGAAGAGAGAGAAGAGCTTCGCCAACCCCTCATCATCATCATCATCGTCATCAAAAAACAAACCGAAAGCTCCAATTCTTCTTCCTTCAGCTGCTTCGTTGTCGGATGAGACACCCTCGCACCGCGCTCAAATGATAAATTGCTGTCAAAAGTCCAAACTCGATTTCGGACCCACGCCTAATTGATGCGCTCCATTTAAACCATTTACCTGTTTCTAAAGCCGGAATCGGATCTAACCAATTTAGGGCTACTTAGGATCTATCATTCAAAATCTTGGCTATCCCAATTTGGATATTTAGGTTAAATTTGGACAGAAAGTGAAATTATATCTGTTGAGATTGAAAATAATCAGAGGGGATATTAGGATTAAAATCAATATTAGAATTTACGTTTAAATTTAAAAGCAACAATGCTAGTAAGATAAGTTATAATAAAAAATAATTATTAAGGATTTTAAATTAAAAATATAATAATAAATTAGTTTTTCTATATATCTTAATGTTACTTAACATTTAAAATTTTGAAAATTTATTGAATTAAAATATTTACATATATTAAATTATATTAAAATAATAATTAAGATCAAATATAACATTAGAATAAATAATTCAATAAAACTCTTAAAATCAATTATGTTTTTCTGTATTTTTTCTCAAACATTTATGTTCACCTTTTCATATTTTGTGAAGTATAAAGTTAAAATTTACAAAAGCATTTATTTTTCTCTTTTATAAGTGTTGATGATATGTTTCTTAGCTTTAACTTACAAGCAACTATATTAAATTTGCTTTTTCAATAATCACTTCAATTTTTAAAATAGGTTTTATGTTTCATAATTCTAATAGAAATGGTGATTGATAAATTTACATGCAAGAATTAAGTAGATATCATAGGCAAGGATACTATGTCATAGTTTTACATGCACCAATCTTATACAAAAAATGATTGGCATGTAGATATTTTACTACTTTATTTTAATGCTTATTTACATCTTTCTCTATAACTTATTGTTTTCAATATTGAGTGCTAATAGAGAATAGATATATATGCAAGTACTTTGCATGAGATTTTTTATCAACAAATATCTAGATTAACATTTAATTGCATTCTTTATTTTTAATATAATATATATTATATACATGATATCTTTTGAATATTTTATTCTTCTTCAAATATTATTTTTCATATTTTTAAAATTTGTTAAATATTTAATAAAAAAATTTAATTTTATAATGATTTGATCTCTTAATTATATTATATATATTTTACATATATTTTGAATATATAAATAATTAAAGAACATTAATTTATGTGTTTACACACATTTAAATAATTAAAGACAATTAATGTATTGTACGAGTAATAAACTATTTTATTATATTTTATTTTTTATATAACTTTTTTTTCAACTCTAACTACAAAAATTCTTTTTTAAATTTATTTTTTATTTCTCATCTTATTAGTATTATCTAAACATTTTTTACAAATATAATAACACATATATTGCATTTTTTTCATGTTTATTCTATATTTAATATCATTATTTCTTTATTATAGTTATTTTCTAATCTTATCAAATTTTAATATTCAAAATTTATTTATAAAAATATTTCTTCATACAATTAATTCATTTTAAAACACTTTCATTTTAAATTTTTTTAAAAAATTTTAAAACTTTTCTACAAACTCACACTTAAGAACTTGCATAGTTTGATGTTGCATTTAATGTTACATCTTATTTGTCGTGGCTAGCTCGGTTTGTGGCTCACATGCCTTTTTTTTTAAGGGAGTTTTGCCTTAAAAAGATCAAAATTTTGCATTATTAGGTTTATATTAATTTACATAAATAGTTGTTTTATTATATTTAAAATTTGCAAAATTTATGATGATATCATGTTAAGATATCAAGATAATTTTTATAAAACTTGTTTTAATGGGTATGTAGACACCCAATTTGATCTAGGCCCAGATCAATTGGATCTGGTCCAATGAGGTCAGTTAAGCCAAAGGATTAGGTTTAATTAATTAATTAATTAATTAATTATTATGTTATTTATTTTAGATTTTATCTGTTTTTGATTAATTTTTTATTGATATCGGAGATAATGATAAAGATCAGAATAATTAAAAATTAAAAAAAATCATATCGTAAATAAGGTTGGTAGAGTCATAGGTGGATTTAACTTGCATAGGATAAATTCAATGATTAATCTGATAATCCAGAAACCTAATAATTTTAGGATTTTTTTTTTGAAATTTTTGGCATTTTTTTTAAAAAAATTTTTAGAAAATTTTTAGATTCCGATCAATTTTTCAGTATAATTTGAATTTTTCGACGACTTTTTGATGAAATTCAAAGTTTCTAGTGAACTTTCCAGATTCCAACGTCCATTTTCCAAAAATCGATGAACTTTTGATCAGATTTCGATGACCCTATCCAGATTCTGATGATAATTCTAGAATTCGGTTGATGATTCAACCGGTGCTCTTGAATCCTAGAGAGAGAGGGAAAGAAAAGGAGGAAAAGAGAGAGAGGGAAGAAGGGAACTCTGGTGAAAAGGGCGAAATTAACCTTTTTATACAGTTACAAAACGATGTCGTTTTGGTGTTAAGAAACCCCCAGGATCCGCACGTTTCTATTCGGACCAACCCGACCTGAGCACAACCCACCTTTGGTTGACCTACGTTCTAGCCAACCTTTTCAGCTGAGCTAAGCCGCGCCTTCAAGCTTCTTTTTGTGCCTCAAGGTGAGCCGCTTCAGCCAAGCCATTTTATTTATTTTTTGTATTTCTTTTTATATTTTTTTGTATTTTGTTTATTGTTTTTTAGTATTTCTGCATGATTAAATTAAGGAAAAATAAAGCAAAAAATAAAAAATAAAATATTTTGAGAATAAATATTAATTATCTAATGATGTGATTTATAGAAATTTTAAATTATAAATTTTTATAAAATTTTTAGGTGAGAAATTTTATTTAAATTTATTCCAAATGAGGGAATAATTTAGATGAAGTTTCAATAAAAGTAATTGTATTCTTTTTCAAATAAAAAATTAGGTTGAAAATATTTGATAATTATCCAATGATGAGATTCATAGAAAATTTAAATGGTAAATTTTTTAAGAAATCTCTAGGTGAGAAATTTCTTTAAATTTATCCCAAATGGTGGAAGAATTTAAATGAGATTTCAATAAAAAAATTATCGTATTATCTTATAAAAAAAATTTCTAAATAGGTTCAAATGATAAAAAAATTTAGAAAATCCAAAAAAATAAATAAATAAATAAAATTTCTAAATAAGCCCAAATGGTGAAAAATTTAGAAATTCAAAAAGAGAAAATATTTTTAATTTGGCCCCAAATTGTGAAATAATTAAATATATTTTCGACAAAAAAATAAATAATTAAACTTTTTTTTTCGATGACGAAGCCTCTTCAAGGAAACAAACGGGATCCTTGAATACTTTTGAAGTAAGAAAATATTTTTTAAGAGTTGGTGAAATACTTCCACTCAAATTGAATCCTTTCTGCTGGTAGCCTATGATGGGTAAGGATTGGACTACCTTACTAGTCTGTAATGGATGATGATGTAAGAAATAATTTGGAGACCTTTAGTAGTCAAAACCACCTAACCTTGCATATAATCCACTCTTAAGAGGCTAGCCCTTAGGATAGAGCCCTTTCTACCCCTTTGTAGATATAAACCAAAATTAGGACACAAGAAGGAACAACTTGTACATTGCTTATCTAACCATTTTGTTTGTTTGATTATGTGCATCTGCATCATTTCCATGTCATTTCATGCTCATGTTATAACATTGTCATATCATTTCATTCTATGCATAATTTTCATGGTCATGTTTAACATTATCATTTGCATTATTCTCATATAGAAAATATTTACCACATATCAGTTATTGATAAATCAGATCTCATACTTACATCCATGGAAAGCCATATCCAATCAAAGTCTACATCAATCCATTATGAATCTGCTGCCTATCAATTAAAAATCAAGTCAGAAGAAAGTTAAAGAAAATAGAGAGATTGCCTGCCTGAAGGTTTTGTTTCATTATTGCCCGAGAAAGTTCATCTCAATCTTCAATAAAATGATCTAGCTAACCTAAGCAGTGTCTAGGGATGCATGGACAGAACAAGGCAGGAGCCATTTGGGAACAGATATAGAGACACAGCTTCACTGCTCTAGGTAGATATGAACAATAATCTGATTAGAGCCATCTTTTAGTTTTAGAATTCTTCTTATAGATGTTTCATTTTCAATGAAGCAGACATAGTGCCTATAATTGAAAAATATATGGTCTTATTTCACTTCGATTTGTCAAACCCAAACAAAATCTATTGGTCGAATAAGGTAGGCTATCGTAAAAAGATGGTGCAAATACTTAGACTTAGCTTACCTCAAGTCAATACATACGTCAAGATAAAAGGTGAAAGTAAGACGATCCCATGGAGTTTTCTACTAGATTTTATCCAGAGGCATATGGATGATGATTAGGGATTAGTGGCCATGGCTATAGCTTTATATAAACTAGTAATTTTTCCAAAAGTCATTGGATATGTTGATGTCATAGTGATAGATTTCATCAATCAATTAGTGTATCGAGTCAATATAGCACCAACTATTTTGGTAGAAACCATTCGTTCTCTGAACTTTTGTCACAGAAATGGTAAAGGTCGGCTTAATGGGTGCTTACAGCTCCTTTATGTATGGATGAAGTCACATTGAGTGTGAAGAAAGCCAGTATTGTAAGCCATACCTACATTTCAGCATCCTAATTAGGGAGTTTTATTATAGCACATAACCTAAAGCAAAGTCAAAAGAAGAATGGGTTTCATATTTTCAGACCCTTGATGGTCAAAGGATAGTTTGAAGAGCACTTCAGATGCATCATGACACAATATTATATAGTTATGAAAATCAACCATGGGTATTCCTATTAGGCCTATGAGGTGCTATTACTTATGCCTTAACTTTGGTGAGAAAACAATCCAGCTGTGAGCAATTCATTCTAGAAACCCATGGACTTAACCAGTGAGAATTTTTTTTCATTGAAAAAAAGCCGTATGGAATGATTGAAAAGATAAAAAAAGCATGGAAGCAAACCATCCGAGTTGACCAAGGGAGGTTCACTTACGATGTCACTCCAAAATATGTTATGTGGCATGCGAATAAGGGTAAAGACATCGTGCTACCTCGAGAGCAATTAGACAACCAGTCCTCAAAGTCAATTCTTTGAAATTCTTAGCTTAAAAAGAAGATAGCTAAAAGAAAACTTCAAACCGAGAAGGATGAGCGGGAACAAGAAAATAAATGATTAAAGCTAGAAATAAAAGAAAACTTGAAGCTTCAAGAA